CTCTGGCTCTGCTCACCCCCTACCCCCGCCAGCGCCCATCGCTTTATTTTCACTCGCGCCTCTGCCGCCGATGCACGGCAACAGATTATTCGTGCCTGCTCCTCGTGTTCAGGGTTCAGAGCTAAAGCTCTGTCTCGGCAAAGCCGTGCTCAGCTCGACCCCTCCTGAGTGTGTGGGTGCCCCACGGGGCTCTGGCCTCTGATGGTAACCACCAAAAAAAAGTTTGGGGCGAGTTGGGCTCACGCTGGGCCACAGCAAAGTTTCTTCCACCCTGACCCAGGCGCTCGAGGCGGGAGGGAGCAGGTGTGCTGGCTAAACACAGCAAAATCGCGTCTTCCATGTAGGCGAAAAGTTGATGGAATATCCAGAAAAATAGCCTTTTTTTTTTCTGGAATATTCATGCATAGTATTAGTTGGTCTTTTAAAAGGTAGTTGATTTCATTTTAACATTGTATTTCAGATGTTCTTTTTCTACTTGAACTTGTAACCGCAGTTTCCTTTCCACTGCAAGCAAAAACTGGGTGGCTGCATGCAGCTTTTGCTCATACGGCCCGTGGCAGAACACATCTCATTTTTCAAGGACAACCGAGAAAAGGTCACTTAAAATTTATAGTACATGCAGCTTAGCTTCTCCTAAGAAGTTTATTTGGGTGCACATCTTATTTCTGCTCTCTGAACAACCTTCTTAGAACAGGAAAGACAATTTTAGGAGATCAATTCAACACACCAAGAAACTATAAGCCACTGGATTCTGCAATATCACAGTATGCTAGGGATTGGAAGGGACCTGAAAAGATCACCTAGTCCAATCCCCCTGCCAGAGCAGGATCACCTAGATGATGTTACACAGGAACGCGTCCAGGCGGGTTTTGAATGTCTCCAGAGAAGGAGACTCCACCACCTCCCTGGGCAGCCTGTGCCAGTGCTTCGGCACTCTCACCGAGAAGTTTCTTCTCAAATTTAAGTGGAACCTCTTGTGTTCCAGTATGTGGAAGTTAGTGTTGCCGGTGGTACACAGAGGAAGGAAACCCCAGTGACTTTGGCTGAAATAAGTTTCACAGATGTTTGGCATTTATTGAAGTTACAAATGCATAGAAAGGATGCACTTAGCTCCTCACAGTGGTATGATTTGAGACGTCTATGCTACAGAAACAGTGATGAACAAAACTATAATCAAAGCTATAATTTAGATGTTTTTTCCCTGCTCCTTCTTCCTGTTCCAAGCTAGATCAGCCAGACGACCAAATAAAACTGAAGAATCTGCATTTTTTTTGAGTACGAAGCCCGAGCATCATAAAACAACATTCTCATCTCACTATTTAACATTCATGATTACGAAGGCTAGAAGTCTAAATAAAGCAAGTATTGCTCCTGCTGGCTGACTTCAGTTTTACGTTAGCCGTCACTAAACTTTTTTCTGGAGAACTACTGCAGCCTTTCCCGGATTTTTAAGGTCTGCCTTTTCACTTCATATAAAATATGATGCCTCTCCCTAAGAAGGAGAAAGTATCTACTAATATGATAAAAGTTTAAATTTATCTGAGAATAAAATTCTATGAAATGGGTTTCAAAAGAGGGCATATTTAAAAAAACAGTGTCCAAGTTCTCACTTCCGGTTGTTTTATTTCACTTAATAGCAAATCACTGTTCTTGTGAATCAAGTGTTTAATGTTTTAGATAAAATAATCTGAGTAATCAATTAATTTAATTAAATTTTTCTTCTAGTAAGCTGCAGGGGCCACCTCAGCTTTCAAGTCAAAGTTTTTCACTATGTAAAAAAAGTTAGAGCATGTACATTTCTTCCCCAAAGCTAATTTTTAATCAGCTGTCTCAGGTAATATGCAACCCTGAACAAGCAAAATAGTTTAATATTCCTTTGCACTAATGAGGTAAGTCACAAGACCCCTAGATCAAAAAACACTACATGTACCAGATACGACTGCTAATTGTTGGTGGCAGAAGTAGCAAACATAATACTGTACTGCTTGGCAAAAATAAACCCTTTCAGTGTTTGTGCTCCTAGGGATAAGTCAAGCACCAGTTTACGTCATATTCTTTTCACAGAGAGTTCTACAAATATTTGATACAATAATATTTTCTACCAAAGCAGGCTTCTTCCCTCAAGGAAAGACCGTATTTATCTCCTAATGTGGCCCGTTGTGTTTGTTTTCTAAAACTTACATTTCAATGACAGAAAACATTTCTTTCTCCTCTCCTTAACTGACTCATGCTGCCACACGTGAAAGGAAAGGGCATTGTACTGGATATTAAACTCTTATGGTCTCTCATCAAAATGCCTGTAATAACATGGGGAAACTTAACACCAGTAGACTTAAAAGAGCTTGAAGAATCTTAATAGCACGCCAGCTCCACTCAGCTCAAATTAACAGAAGCGCTGAGTGCGCATCATCTCTTCACTCGCACGTGCACCCTTTCCATAAGTTGACGCGTAAGGAGCTGCAGGAGCTGAGGAGGGATTTCCTGGCAGCCACCAGTGCCACATGCCTCTGGTCAAATCATGCTCTCTGCGAAAGGTAGCCAGGCTCTGGCAGGGCTGCACAAGTTAGGGAATAACAGCGTTATTTTCCCACGGAGTTTGAGCTAATAAGCACAGATTGTGCAGATAAGGCGGCGTCCGCGCCGGCAACGCAGAGCCGGAAGAGCCGCGCGCTCTGCGGATCTTGTCGGTCCCTGGTGAGGATCTTGTGGGACTGTACGAGTCAGCCAACTGTTCGTACCTCGCTCCTTTTATCCAAATTATGTAGCTTCTGTCAGTGCCAAAGATATTGCAGCATTTCATAGATCTCCTTGTTTCCCGAGCTCCTCAAGATAGTCTCCAGCACCTGTGGCAAAGCACGGTCTTGGAAGCGCTGGGAGGCTGTTACATCATACATGTTAGGTGAGATAGTATTTCATAGAATCATTAAGGTTGAAAAAGACCTCTAAGATCATCTAGTCTAACCATCAACCCAACATTACCATGACCACTAACTATATCCTGAAGTGCCACATCTACATGTTTTCTGAACACCTCCAGGGATGGTGACTGTACCACTTCCATGGGCAGCCTGTTCCAATGCTTCACCACTCACCTAGTAGAGAAATTTTTCCTAATATCCAATCTAAACCTCTCCTGGCACAACCTGAGGCCATTTCTTCTTGTCCTGTTGTTATTAACTTGGGAATAGAGACCAACACCAGTGCAGTCCTTCAAAATTTCAGCCTAGCAAGGGAACGTGCAGTGAGCAGATACAGTTCAGGATAAAAACTGGTGCACTGCTCTTTGTCACTTTTGAGCGCCTTTCCAAAAGCACTAGTCAATAACAAATACCATCATATATTAATAAAGTGGAAATTAACACTGGAAGTTAAACAAAAGAGAAGAAAACGTCATCCTGTTGGACAACTGATTTGAAGACTATATAAAAAAACGGTGAGCACAACTATCATATTGCCAAAATACTAAGAATTCCTATTTGCAAGTTTTTACTTAAGATTCAGTATGTGTTTTTCCAGTGTGACCCATCCCAAGTGTACTATCCTAACCCTGATTTTCTTCATCATGAATTCACTTACTCGGTCCTCATACTCAGTAAAAACTGCAGTTCACAAGTGATTTTGCAAGAAATAATTGCACAAAACCAGAGCCCCTCCATTTATTACCTAAACCCACCGAAATCTTTTGAACCCTGAAGAGCACGTACGGTGTGCCTCCCTAAAGCAGGTAACTGATGTAGCTAGTTTAACAGCTTTGAACCGTGCTTCCTCTCTTTCCTCACTCTCCTCCCTAACCTAAAAGCACCTTATCTATATTAACTATGTTTTACTTTAAATGTAATCCTCTGAGTCACTTTTAGCATAAAATATGCAATATCCCAAGTAAGTTGTGTCAACCTTTATTTCATTTTTTTCTGATATTAGCAGGAAGACAATGCGGCTGCCTTGGTTACTAAAGCCTTTGTTTTTTATTTAAAAGCAAGTTTCAGGGCTTTACTAATGAGCATGGCAACATAAAGCAAGTCTTAGTGATACTGCATTTTATTGGCATGAAAAAGTGCTCAAAAATAGAAGCTCATTAGTGTTGTTCTTCCCCCTTACTTTTGCAACCAGCTCACTTATAGAAAACAGACCCTTGTTGTGAGTGGACTCTCCAGGTGAGACCTTTTAGACGGACACTCCGACTGTTTCTTTAGAGAGCTGAAGATGTTCTTCAGTGATAAGACAGAGTCTCCAGCCTTTTTCTTTTCTATAAAGAAGAAAAACTCTGCCAGATTGCTCTTGGCATAACCCTGTTCATATTTCCCGCAATGACAATTGATCGAGAACGAAAGCACCCTCTGGGACACAGTGGGTTCAGTTTCCTTTGGCAATGGTCTTGATTGGAAGCAAACCTGAATTGTTTCATTTCAAAGCAAAAAATAAAGAATATTTTTCTGGGATGTCAATACCATGCCTATTAACCAAAACCAACCTTCACAAGAATTCTAAAGCAAAAGATTGCTTAGCAAAGCAAATAAAATAAAAAAAAAAAAAGAGAACACCAAAACAACTCACTCGAACAACCAAGTTGTTACTAATTCAAGTGTAGAAATCAGTCAACAGTACCTTGAGATCCAGTGGGTGGGGTGGGAGGGATGGCACAGGGAAAGGGTATCACACAGCATTCAGCAATGCCACCTGACAAACTTAGAATAGATATTCCTGAAGGGAAGAAAAAGTATATGACCATCACAACGATCTTAAAATCTATAGTCTGGGTTTGTTCTTGTTACACAAAACTTCATTACAGCAGCCATTCATTTCCTGTCATTTGTTTCAGCTAGGAGAGATACTTCACACTGCTGGATTCACCTGTGCGTGCCCTGTGCAACCCTGCCATTTAAACTGGCATCAATTACTAGCGTGGCTTTTCCCGGGCAAAAAAATCCATGTAGTTTTTCCACACATACAAACAACAAACACTGGTTTAACTAAAGCTTTTTCACAATTTATTAACAGTATTAGACTCAAGAAACAAAATTGAGTTTTATTCAAAAATGTAAAGATTAAGATAGTTTTAAAATGTTAGAGCTCCCCAACAGTAAGAAGAAACAATCCTTCCTCTGCCTTTTTTTTTTTCCATGTATTTGTTTATAAATAATGCACTGGAAAAAAACCCTTTGTCTTTCGAGTCACTTGCAAAAGTTCTTAGAATATTCTTGTATCATTATAATGAAGAGATGGAGATAGCCTCATATTTCAAGATTTTACCCCATTAACACACCACATACTACTCCACTCAAAATGTTATCTGTGAATGATACAAATGATAAATCTGCTCTGAACTAGCTTATCATTAGTATGATGAGATATCACAAACAGTAATCCCCAAAACTTTTAAGGAGGTGGAAGGGGCAAAAACCCACCACAGAGAAGTCTCGCACAAAATGCATGCGTGTATATAAATACCCAAAGTTGCTTTAGGAACAAGCAGCAAGATATAGCAAGGACAAATGGAAAGTTTATTCCACATATGCTACAATTAATCAACATTAGGGAAGTATCAAAATTTGTACTATTAACATATGGCAACATTTTTATTGTTACAATACATTGCAATATATCAGCCCCAATGAAAAAGGCTTTTAAGCTGCAGACAGTGCAATTGCATTAAATCTTAATTCTTCCGGGTCACGTTCCATGAATTTCTTGCAAACTTCTATTGCATCCTAGAGAAAAAAAGTAAAAACCAACAAAATAACAAAACAAAAACCACTATAAATGATACTGATTTAAAAATAAAAAAATGCAACTGAAATATGAAGATATGCTTTATACAAACTATGCTCAAAATGGATTCTTCCATAAAGGATTACTAAACAGTGTGACAAATCTACACAAACCATATTTCTGATCTGAATTACCACTATTCAAGATTATTTACTGTGCTAATCTGGGCAGCGTAAGAGAGCGAAAGTTTTATGCAGAACATTGGCAACAATGATTTTTGTGACTGAATATTACTTTGTGCAACAGATGTGCTTCTCGTCTTTCTAAATTAATCTCTTAAATTTGCCTTTACCAGTACTGCTGTACTCAGAATTTCTTCCTTTGTCTCAAGAATCTGAGTGAAAGATTATAAGTAATTCCTTCATCTAGCTTTAGGATGCAATCTGGAGAACACATGTTACCAGTGACACAGAAAATGCCACATGTGAAAAAAGGGAAACTTTATTCAACTTCTTCCCCTGCCCAAACAAGCACAAAGCGTATATAAGTTTTACAGACATTAGTCTGTAAAACTGAACTATAAAAGGTTTTTGCTTGTTTGTTTTTTATTTCTGATTTCTTCTTTTTGTACAGCTAATCTAGTCTGGACACCATAAAAATCAGATCTATGCATTGCTGTTTTTCAGCTTAAACTTTGCATCATTCTGTGAGGAAGACAGTTTATCCTTCCAGTTGAGCATATTCCTTTCCAATTAATTTCTCAGCTAAACAGCTCCTGACACAACATAGACACAAAACTGGAGAAAAGTTATTATCAGCAAGCATCGGAAAGGAAATCAACTTCCATCTAGCATGGTACTTATCACATTATAACTCAACCAAAGGAAAGAGAATGAAAAATTATCCTAAATTTTCGATCTGATGAGTTCATATGATGTACAATTTGAAAGAAGCAGTGGTAGATGAAAATCTCAGCACAGAAGAAAAGTCAATGTAGTCACGATCAACTCCTCTGACATTTCTTCTTGTCATGTCATCTAGAGTCAAACCATGACTGGTCTGAAATACCTGTTTTAAAACTAACTAAACTCAATTTTGTCTTACCATCCTGCTTCCTCTGTTCCTCATCCAGCAATAAACATAGTAAGACTTTTGTATAAAAAACTACATAAATATTTTTCTATAAATTTTGTGGAAATATGGCAAGAATTTTGTATAACCTCATTTAAGAAGATTTTTCTATTCTTACCTCTAAAAAAGAATCGTCACTAGTTTCCCCATGGTTGATTGGAAAAGGCTTGCGGCCATCTGTTGAAACACAAAGCAGGATTGAACAATACATTTATAAAACTGGAAAAGCTATTCCCTAGTCTCTCCTCCGCTGCTGACTACTTCAGCAGATATCATTATATAGAGTCTGTTACATGGGAAAAAAAATAAAATACTCTTAAATATTTTATTTGAAAACTTTAAAGCTCTAAGTTACGGCTGTTTTAGTGCTGGTATAGGACTTCATTTTTTTTTCAAATAGAGAAGAACAATTTCAACTACACTTAGTGGGTTTACCCAGACAGGCAGCTGTACAGCTGTGGTCTTTGACAGCTGTGATTAGTGACTTCAGGACAGAATAGAACACCAGATCCACCAGTTTGAAGAGTCTGGTGTAACTGAAATATTAATTTAAAGTAAATGTGCAAAAAAACCCAATAGCTTTAGGAATAAGTAGTTTTACAGCATTTTAAAATGCTTGCTTCAATTAATTATTTGTTTCTCCCATTTGCAATATAATAATTGTTGTTCTGAGCATTTTTAAAGTATTTTTTTTCCACAGAAATATGTTTCAGGTTACTTGCGAAGAGTTAACAGTATGAGAATGTATGTCAGGATATCCTAAGTATTTGCTAGACTGAATTTGTGTTCGGCTCCATCCTCCCTTTTAAAGACTTTTCCCTCCCAAAAAGATTCTATCAAAGTTTTTACAATACTTCCAAACTACATTTTCCCTAAAAATAACTAAAAATAGATTCGACATTAGAAAACTTTTGAATTTGCATGAACAAGAGGTTGCTCATTGTTGTAACAGCCATGACTGAAGATACAACAATGCAAAACCCTCAGAATGTGCCAGAGAAACCGAACTGAATGCCTTGTACTGTCAAGCTATGTTTGATTCAATTTTATTTTTGTCTTACATACATCTTGGCAGAACAGCATTTTAAACTTCACGTGCCTATAAATAACATGTTTTCTATGGCAGAAGCATCCTAAGTGTATAACATCCATGTGCTTCCTTAGCATTTTCTGCCTGCCAAAGCTCACATGCTGGCAACAGCAAATGAAGCCAGCGAATCAACTGAAAAACCTTCTCCCATTTTCCTACTTTTAAGTATTTTGTTTCCATTCTTGTGCTAGTACAAAGAGCAGTTATTTTAAGAACAAAGGAAAGAATAGTATCTGCATTCCATTACACAGTAGAGTTAAATGCCTTTTTTTGTTGTTGTTTTAAATTTCAGCAAAACATTCAAATCAGTTTTATCTTGCATCATACCTAGGGAAAATAGCTGAACATGGTAATCACTGTGCTTTTTCAGCAGAGCAAGTTAATGCACAACAAAAAGGTAACATACCACTAAAAGAAGGGTGAGCCATCCATCACACCCTGAAATTCTGAGTCATTAAATATTTATATTGCATCTCACGGCAGTTGCCTCACTATTTGATCTAGTTCACTGACACACAGCAGCATAAAAAAAGAGAAATGTCTGCCTATTGTTCATGATTTACCGCTGATAATAACCCTTAGATCACCTTAATATCAACATAAGCACCTCTCATACACTGCTGTATGATTAGTTGACACCTGTTAATGGCATCCCTTAATGACATGTTCATTTTCAAAAGATGAAAATGTTCTCACCATAAAATACTGCAAAAATTATGTTCCGAAAGACCAGTGACTTGCAGTTTCTAAATCCTGATCTGCTTGCTAGTTTTCTGAAGCACCTGCAGCAAAACCTAGTTGCCCAGCAACATGTTTAAGACTGGAGTCATTAGAGAATATCTGAGCAGAACTTGGCACTACACGATCTGAAGAGGGGAAAAAAATAGCTGTAATTCAGGAAACAGAGACTACTGCTTTACAGTTAACTGTCTAGTGACCACAAAAAGGTAGAATAAAAACCAACCAGCCTATAACAAATGAGTTGCAGAATATTAGTATCTGCTAGTATCCTGACTATGTAGTTTCAAATTAAAGTGTATCACTATCTAATAATATAGCTAATGCTTCTAAGGTGTCTTAAAGTTCACTTCTGAATTCCATAAGCAATTCAGGGACATAAGAGTACCTTCCCGTCTGAAAATTCGAGTGTTCATCAATTCTTTCTTACTCTCTGTCCTTGCAAATCATGAAGGAAGTTTAGAGGCACAATTTTATCTTAATAGGAGGGAGCTGAGGGAAGGAGAATCAAAAAAAAAAAAAGCAAACAAAAACCAGGGAGAAGGCTTCAATTGTTTGACAGAACTCCCCAGACCCTACGATGCAGCTGAGAAGAACCAAAGTCCTATGTTTACAAGTTATCTCCCTCAAACTTTGGTAGTTAACAACATTACTACTTGTATTCGTTTCAAACAAATGGAGAGGATGAAAAGTGTTCTTACCCAATTCATACAGATGACCACCTACATTAACTAATGCAATAAAGTGAAGATCTACTTTTTCATCTATACTTGGTGCCTGCAAGACAAAACAAAACAAAAAGAAATCATGTTCACTAAAGCTATTGTCACAATATAATTAATGAGAACATATCACAATATGCAAAATACCTGGCCAAGAGAAATCACAAGTGAGAAGCACATTCTGGATCTATGGAGAATGGCAGAAGTCACACTGCAGAACATTTCAGTATATAAGAAAAGCTTTCTGTAATACAGGGATCCGTAAGAACCCTTGCAGTCAAATATCTGGAAGTATTTCCAATTACAGATCTACATAAAAGCTTTATTTTTCGTTACTGACCTAGAAGTAGTAGCAGCTCACATATATTAACATTAAAAATAGATATTCACATAAATAGCAACTCCTTGAACTAACCCATCTCCCAGAACAAAGTGATACAGGGCTGAACTCTGTGGTATTTTAAATCTGGAAAGATTCACTCTGTCAAAGTGGTTTTTTCCTTGTAAGCCATGGGTAGTACAGTTCACCTGCTCCTTCTTCACAGGCAGTTGAAAGAAACAGTTCATACAACTTAGGTGGGGATGTAGGAAAATAGGGGGGAGGTAGGGAAATGCCTAGACTGAAATTTCAAAGTGTCATCGTACCAAGAAAAGACTGCAGCGTGGTGACAGCATTGAGTGATGTGACTGACATAAATAAATGGTTACAGTCGGTAAAGCTCTATCTAGCCCAGTACTGGGTTGCCAACTACAGCAAGAAAACGCTTTTTAAGAAGAAAACAGGGCATGAACAGCACGGTACTCTGCCAGCAAACATTCCCAGCATCCACTACACAGTGTTTTTTGAGCTTCTGAGCCAAAAGGTGCATCACTACCGTTGTGTTCAATAGCATTTGATAGTTTTGTTTTCTCATCAATCTGTCCAGTCCAGATCTGAGCTTTGATCCACAATTTAAGAATATATTGCTGGAGGGAATGGGAAAAAGCACCTCAGTTTTGCTTAAATTATCAAGAATCTGACTTACGTGATAATGTATTTCATGCTATTTTCTTCCGTCTTATAATTACTTTAGCCTTATGTGAATTTCTTGAAGCACCCCAAAAATCTAGGAATTTGCCAGAAACAGATTAGAGTGTAAAACAAATTGCAGAACCTTACAGTTGCATCATGTTTTCAAGACTGGGTTAAAAGTTTCTTTCTTCCTGTTGGTCATGAGAAAAGACTTTAAAAGATGATTTAAACTGAAGAAATGTAGCAAACAAACAGGACAAGAAAGTAAAGAACAAGAAGTCACTGTAAGTCCTTTGATATGTCAAGAATGCCAATATAGCATTACAGAGCAACTGCCAACACCTTACAAAAATTCTGCATAGCAAGCTCAAAAACAAGAGAAAAAACAAAATAAATAAATAAAAAAAAAAAATGCACAATCTCCCCTCACCCTCTTTTGAGATTCATGTCCATGAGTTAGAAGTGTGTAAAAAAAGGCATCAATGCCATGTTTCATCTCTGTTTCAGAAGGCCTAAAATGAAGAAAGACCATTCCTGCCACTGAAGATGAGGTGGCTGCCAATGGAATGAGAGGACCTTTCCACCAGAACTACAAAGAGTCTATCTCTTCTGTGGCATACGGGAAACTGCCTTTGAGAATCGTGTTTTAAATAAGGCCACAGTCAGGGCTTAGAAAAACAAGCAGCCTCGAGTTTGGCTACGCCAGTTGTCATCTTCCAAGGATGAGAGTTTTCTGTAACTTCCTGAAAAACCACACAAGATAGTAGCTGAAAACCAATGGCACCTTGTCGTTATTCTTATTGATCGACCAACTTTTTATAGGCACCTAAACTGTGGTGCTACAAACACGTGCAGGCAGGCAAAGCTGAGAGTCCTTGCCCAATTCCACATAGTCGCCTCATTCCCTTTATAGATAGAATGCCTTCTCCATTGCTCACTTCTCACTTAAACCTACCAGTTGGGAAATCTGGGCTTAAGGAATTTCGGGGCTAGGGGAAAGACCACTGCCACTCAGTCGCACTTTCGGAAGGAAATAGCGTTTAAAAGTTTTCAGCTGAACATATACTACCTGGCCTCAAATTGCCATTAACTACAATAGGTCAAAGTATCACTATTTCAGAGGACTTCGAGATGTTCAGGATTTGGTTTTCATCACATTTAGGACAAAATACTGTTGCCTGTTTGACCATCTTGAGGGTTATGGTCTTCACCAATGTCTAATAAACACTTTTTCTATAGAGACACACGCTTGGCATGCTTGGAATGCTGAGCCTATATACAACTAGAAGATGGATAGGGAAGTCATCAAAAAAAGTGTTTCACTTTTCATCGAGTTTACTTGGAGACAGACTCCTATAGAATCCTGCTGAGTTTTTGTACATGCCTAATCTAAATAACGTGCTTTCATTGTGCTATTGCCACAGCCCATGAGAAATGTCATGTTTTTACATTTTTAATTCCCCAAACTCAGAGAGAGAATGAAATGCCTTTATTAAAGTTTCTACCACATGCTCTAAGGCAGACTGTCTCCTTCCCCTGTGATTTTTTCATCTAGCATGGATAGTAAATTTACTGCAAAGTAGATTAAATTTCTTGAAACATTAGGATTTCAGTAATTTTTGACAGACAAGTATTTGCATAATTATAAAAACAGAGAAACAACAGAGTCTGAATAGTCAAGATGACCTAAAACTTTATATAAAAAAAACCATTGCTTATGACTTAGGCAAACAACTGGGTTAAACTTTGCCAGTGTGATGAATCTGATTCAAAATCCCTCCATTCCTCCTTAGGGAAAAATACCCAAACCCCAAAAGACGCATCCATTGCGTATCTGTACATGCACGCTCACACATGAAAAGCTGAGTCAGGCCAATTTCTGCTTCACTGGGAAGCTCTAGAAATTCTAACACTTGAACCAGAAGATTTTAAATTTCAAAGGAATGGAAACAAGACAGAATGTCAGCTTTAGGGAGAGGTCATTTTGTGGTCTCCTTGAAAAGTTACACCTTTGGCCAAGTTTTCAGCTTCTAATAAATAGTCTGTGTGAATGCTTAAAAGAACAGGAGAACACAGGTTTAATTCTGCCTGCATGTTCATCACTAGGTAGTATTTTCAGAACAATCACAGAGGATTTTCTCTTGTCAAAATTGCAGTAACATAAACATCAGTTAAGAGTTGGGATGACCTGTGCCTTTAAATTTTTTCACTTAGAAGCCCACTCAATGTGCAAAAGACACCAGATTTGAATGACGACATGTATGAACCACAAGAAAGGAGAAAGATAAGACTGTGCCTTTAAATTTTTTCACTTAGAAGCCCGCTCAATGTGCAAAAGAAGACACCAGATTTGAATGACCACATGTATGAACCCCAAGAAAGGAGAAAGATAAGGAGTCTAAATAAGATGACTGTTTAGTCAGGATTTGGAACTAACCTACGGGATTCAAGACTCATTTTTCAAGTCTTCTGAAGAGTTATACCACAAGGTGAAGAAAATTTATATTTCTTTCCCATCCAGTGAAGACAGAAAGAGGACAAATATCAGCATCTTGTGTAGCTTCCAGAAGCTTATATTATAGTTTCAACTTTAGTATAAGAAATAAGCTTTGGTAGTATGGGTTAGTGGACATCGGTTTTCCAATTTATCTCTTTAAAAGAAAAAAAATAAACACGACAAAACTGAAAAATAACAACCAGTAAACTTAAAACTTATTTGAAGAGGAAGAATACACAAAGTTTAGTGCTCAAAGTGATGGTTCTGAGAATATCTTCTCAGCTGTAATTTGTTCTCGACATATCAAGATAACGCTCAATGACAATAATACAGTGTCTCTTCATGAGTACTCAGTCTCAGATACAAAAGTGACAATCAAGGTTGTCGTGTCCTATAATTTTGGTCAGCACATTAAAAGCACTTAAATGACCGAGTCATGATTTCTTCAGAGGATTGGACCGCCTCTTCTGCTAACTGAGATATTCAGATTAAATAATAAGCAATTGCTGACTGCTGTGAGGAGTCAATTTTAACTGCCTTGTCTCAGGTCAATACCCACCAGTTCATGTTACCAAAACAGCACCTCTACCTTTCTTCCTCTCTTCTTCATTGGCAGATTTCCAGTCAGTAATTTTTAAAATGGCACTTCTCAAAGTTTTTACTATACAAATGCTTACTCCTCCTACTCCCTCTTGCTGTATGCTACTCTCTCCTCATGAACTACAATCTTCTTTCTTCTTGTTGCATAAACCTTCAGAAACTCAATGCTACACCCCTGTATCACTGTTTGCCCATTCATATAAGCTGGTCTAATAAAGTATATTTCATCACCTATAGTTTGTTTTGCTGATGTGTTTAGACCATTACCCCAATCTAAAAGTCAGTATTCAGTTTTTAGGTGTTTAAAATCTTTTTTATCTCCAAATGTTGCCAACTTTGAACAAAACAGTTCATCAAATTTGATGTGCAACGAGTTTCTTTTCCCCAGAAGTGCATTTATAGAACAAACAGATTGGAGGACATACCAAAAGGCATCCTCCTTAAAATTTATTTAGGAAAGACTACTTTATAAAAACAGGTTCAATGTTACATGACAGATTTCAGGTGACTTCTTCCAACTAACTTGTATTTTTATTATTTCATTACACTTGCTCTTGAGAGAAAAGAACAAAGCAAGAAGTCTCACAAACGAGTTTAGTAGAATGCTTTGCATTACAGGGAGTGACTGGGAAAGGTAAAAACACCACTTGTGTTAAATCAAGAAATTGGCATCAAGAGTGTCAAGTTCTTGAAGAAGAGCAATAAAGACTGAGAGAGACAATTTTGTAGAACCTTGAGAAGCAAAAAGTTTCAGATGCATCCAATCGAAAGATCATGACTAAAGTAACTGAAGTCTAAGAGAAGAAAAAACCTGAGGGGCATAACCATACAATTTCACTCATAAGGAGTTACAAGAAGGCAAAGAAAAAACATATTCAAAATGAAGTTTACACAACAGAACATTAGGTATGGTTTGGATTCAATAAATTTTGAAGTAAAGGGGAAAAAATGATGCAATTGCTATTGAGTAGATTAGACATCTCTAATTTCCATTTTGAAGCATAGAACATGCTGGGCAGACGTACTGTGTAGGCCTGTGAAAGGCATTTGAATACTGGCTAAAATACTGCAATTAAAACAAAGACCAATGGAATGGTAATCACAAGTTTCAGCAAGATTATTTCTGGCTCATTCTCACACAACAGTGACATCTCTATTCACACTCAATATACTGCAGTGAGTTTACAGTACATGAAATGCTCTGCAGTTTCCCAGTTGAATGTACAGAAATCAGGGCAGCCCTCGTCAGAATAATGAAAAAGAATCTCTGTAACCTTGAGTGCTGACCCAAGAATGATCTAGCTCCTTTGCTAAGCATTGCTTTATGTGTTTTTCTACCATGCTGTCATGATGGACAAGCTGTCTCAAGCTTATTAACTCTATATCCCCAACTTCAGGTAGAATATGCAAGTGTCAAGTGAGGTACAAGTCAAAGCTGAAGGTGAATAACATCTGATTTTGAATAGAAGGAGGTCAAACAGGAAGGTGAAATTAAGAGATGGACTCTCTCAATGACCAGAGTAGCTGGATACAGTTTATACAAACAAAACTCTTCTTTTAGATCCATAAGCAAGAGGGATTATTCAGCAGTATGCTGCTCTAAATAAGTATTCTTTCGGGTTTTTTAGAGAACAAGAACTTTAGTCTGACAGAGGAAGTAAGTGGGAGAAAACAACTTCAGGGAGGCAGGAAGGAAAAAAAGAGCAGCAAAATGACCCTAATGCAAGCAGAGACACTAAACTGAAAGAACAGAATTGCTGGAAGTATAAGAGATCATTATAAGTTGAGAAAAAATCAACATTACTCATGAAGCATGCTGTTACCTATAGCTTACATGTTTGCCACATCTGCGATTTATCAGGTTTGCATGGAACATTTCAGTATTTTCAAATTTTTTGTTTGTTTGTTTTCTACTATACGCTCTTAACTCATCTGGTGACCTACTGTCAAAAGCTGAGTCTGGCTGAGATGGAGTTAATTTTCCACACAGCAGCCCTCACAGTGCTGTGCTTTGTACCTGTAACTAGAAAGGTGCTGAAGACACCACAGGGTTTTGGCTACTGCTGAGCAGCACTTGCACAGCACCACAGCTGTGGTTTTCCAACATTCCCTCCTCACCAGTAGGCTGTGGGTGGGCAAGACCTCGGGAGGGGGCACAGCTGGGCAGGCTGACCTAAACTGACCAACGGGATGTTCCATACTGTATGGCATCTGCTAAGCCATAACAGCTAAGAAGGAGGAGGGAGGGAGACATTCATTATCACGACATTTGTCTTCTGGAACAGCCACTACAGATACTGAAGGCCTTCCACACAAGGCCTTTGCTTTATTAAGCTGCCTTTATCTTGACACATGAGGTTGCTTTCCATCTTACTTTCTCCCTCCATTCCTCGCTGAGGAGAAGAATGATAGAGCAGCTTGGTGGGCACCTCGTGTCCAGACAAGGTCAACCCGCCAAGGAAAGTTTTCAAGTGGGGAAAGTGGTTTTCTTTGAGGAGCATAAATGCAGTCTCTCATCATTAAGACTTCTGCTCTTCATTTTTAAACAATGTTTTCTGTCTGTCAGTGTTTAAGTAGTAAAAATAAACTTGGAACTACAAGAAATTTCAACTGTATTTTAAAGACAATATACAGGACATATCTTCTGCTCCTTTAAATTTAAGTGCATAAACTTCTTAATAAAACCAATATCAGAAAGTTTTCATACAGCGCTGAAACAATTTGGCCTCTCCTGTACATCTAGCAGAATGATCAGAGCTATATTAATAATACTTATTGACAGGACAAAGCTTGAACGACAAGGTAGTATTTATTATCAAGTCAATCAAGACAGCTTCAATGCCCAAAATGCTCGTTGTTTTTTCCCATATTAAGCCAGTTCACACATAATTTGCCTGTTCTTGAATCTTCTTGGAAAGGTATGCTATACACAAGTCTTACTGAATACAAAATTGTCACCAAATTCAGAATCTTTGCATATAAGATCTATAATTTTAGTCTGTCAAATGGAGACAGTCAGGATTCTCAAGGGAGTTACTGAGTAATATTTTAAAACTATTTTTAGTGTCAAGCTTCTGTTTTGCCAGATACAGTTGCACTGAAGGTCACTTATTTTTTTGAATATTTTGAAAGCAAATACTCACTGCTAATATATAAAGAGTTCTATTTAGACATTTTCTGAAGTACATAAAACTCTCAACTTGCTAACAGTGGTTTTTTAGTACGATCACAACAGATTCTGCAGTTATGTCCATCCTTTGATAAGCCATAGTTTATTTAGTGTTGAAGTAAACTCATTGTTAATCAATGTTTTTGTTCTAGGAAGGCACACTCAGGCTCAAGTTTTCCTCAATAAATATTTTGTTAACAACAAGCTTATATAGGTCAAATTCCTACAGGATCCCTGTTTCAAATTACAGAAATATGACATAGAATTTTCCAAGTTTTGCTAAACAAACAAAAAAGTCCCCAGGTGAAATGTCAGAGGTTTGCCAACACTACTCTCATAAATAGTAAATAGGAGTAGGAAGCATGAGTCGAGGAGAACGTAACTCTGTGCTAAATCCATGTCTCCTCAAACCCCATGGTATTTAACTCGCTCCAAATGATAACATCAAGAATGTTTCATAGTTCTCAAGATTATAAGAGAGCCAGATACTTAATAATAGCAATTATTATTCACATAAAGAGAAAGGAGTCTGGGAAAAAGGCTCACATGGAGATACTTATCAGAATAAAAACATAAAAGCTACAAAGAAACGAAAGAACTTGGACACTAATATTTTAATAGCAATAGAACATTAAGGATTTTCACATCTGGAAAGAGAGATCTATAGAAAAAAAAGAAAACTATGTGGACTACGGTCAGAAGTAATTTCATATCAGTAAAAAATCCACATACCACAAATAAGACTCTCTCATAACACAGGTGAAATGTGGTCATTACCAAAGAGTGATAAAACAAAAAATCACTGTCTCAATTTTCTAGTTAAGACCATTCCCTTCTACATAGCAAGATTATTTTTGTGTGTACTAAAAGTGTGATCACACTGTAAAAGCAGAAATACCACTAAATCACTCTTTCAGCTTAGTGTTTCTGATGGTAATCAAAGGATAGTTTAGAAATATTGGCTCTTCTACATGTGTCATTTTTTTTCTACATTTTCAAGATGTACCCTGTGAGTGAAGAAGGAAAAAAGTTTAAGTGTGGCATTTGATGACAAGCTTTTCTTATTAGAATGTCTTCACCTTCAGCTGGAATGTATGTCTACAAACTGGATAAAGAAACAGATGTCCAGTGAGAAACTAAGCCAGCCCCTTGGGATTACAGGAAACACTTCATCTTTACGGAAATACCCAGGGACCATTAAGCAAGATTTAGTATGAAAGAAAAGGAGACTCGGTTTAGGATATGAGAATGTAAACCAGGTCTCAAACAGAGAAGAAATAATATCATGTGACAAAGAATTAGAAGCTCCTTGGTTTAGCACATCCAAATGAAAGATCGTGAAGATGAGGCGAAAAGAAGAGACTGGATGTGGAGCCTATGGGAAAAAAATAAAAAAAGCTACTTCATGAAGGGCAAACTTCATCTATGCTTTGGAAATGATTTGGCACGTGTATTGAATCAAAAATACCTGGACAGCAAAGCATGGAGTGATGTACTTTTGCTGTCTGACATGGGGGAAAGGGAAAAAAAAAAAAAAAGGAAAAATAAAAAGAAAAAAAAGGAAGAAAGAAATCCTAAGAATGGTTGAGAAAAGACCCCAACAAAAAATGATGCCTCGAAGACCGAAGTTAACATGGCAGAAGGCCAGTTGTGTCAGAATAAGAAAAGACTGAAGATGGACTACACTTACAACAGAATGAAGCCCCACAGATGGAAGGCGTATCAAGGGCCGCCAACGACGAAGACGGATTGACGGACTGGTAGCCTTTGCAGGACCTACATGATTACGTTTGGCCCAGGAGAGGGATGCAGAGTGACACAATGGTGAAGCCTTCGTTCTGCTGTGGCTAACCTGAGGCTGCGATGAGGATGGTGGTGAAGACAGCGAGGACGATGACGACTACATAAACATTAAAAAAGAACATACTTAGCCCACTTAAACTTGAAGTAACATACCTGAAAAAGGCAACTGCAGAGATGTCTGCTATTTATTATACTGTCTTTTACTTGATCCAACTGCACAGGTAACAATTAAGAATGTGTTGACTTTGAATTCGAAGACAAAAGAACAATGAAAATAAGCAAAGACAGGGTCCAAATCTGAAGTTTATCACCAGATAAGCTAGAGGTTATTCACACCCAGTGAACTTCATCATATGAACGCAACTTAAGTGACTTGTTCAAGAGACAGACTGTTGGAAAGTGAGTGGGGAAGGGGTGTAAGGATCATCTCATGGAAGGAATAGTTGAGAACGGAGTGATCAGTTTCATCTACAGCTACAAAAAACTGCAAGCAACAGTTCTTTGGTAATTTGGAAAAGCTAGGTTGTGCTACTCTGGGATTTAATATTAATCCAGTAGCTACTGTAACAGAACCCAGAGTTTCTTGATTGTTCCACGTCTAACATAAAAGGAAAGCAAAGGAAAAGGGAAGCTTACCGTGGTGAGGTATGCAACTTCCTAAGTTTTTCACCTATTCTTCTAAAATAGCAGGCCAGTGGCAGTACTGCCATTAACACTCAGGATCCCTTTAGTATCCGTGGAAGCAGTAGGACTATGTTAAACCATTCAAATTGTTACTATTAGAAGAAAGACCACAGAAGTATTAAAAATGACTCTCGGCTGCAACTGACAAAGTTAGAGTAAACACATTAAGACCAGAAAGGACCATTGTGATGATTTAGTTTTGATCTTCTGTCCCACACAGGCCACAGGACAAATCAAGTTCAAGTTTTGTTTGGAACAGAACATACTCCCAAAACAAAAACAAACATCCAAGTTTAACAGGTTTTTTTTACTACTGAAATAAATTGGCACAAATCAAAGTTTCAATCAACCCTGCCTACAGCTACAGAGACAGTAACATACTCATACAGTTTACTAAATACATCAGTGCTAAATAAAAAGGCAAAGTTTCTAGTCTTGCTTAATGATACTATGACCATGGAACAATAGATTACGTTAGTTCACCTGGCCACCTTGTCAGACCAGGGGGTCACCTTCACCTTACCATCCACCAGAGAACAGGTTTTCATAACTTTATGGTGGTTTTTTTAAACTAGTTTCTGATTTTCAAGAATTCTGATCCACCTCTACATCTCAGCAGCTCCACATAAAAGAGGACAAACCCAGAAAAACTCCAGACCCCATATTTAACTATATGAAGAAAAAGGAATTTAGCAATGACAATATTTCTACAAGTCAGAGAAGCTTACAAGAGTTTAATGGCTATTATACTTTGTACTATTATACTATTGATTTTTTTCAAATTCTTCACCTGAAGAACTGATTTAAAATGAGACATTTTACATTTAGATAGCATATCAGATGGCTTTAAAAACAATTTATTCTCAGCTTGCCTAGGAAAATTCCAAAAGACGATCAACAAAACACTGCTCCTAGAAGTCCTCACAGTCCAGAAACCTCCCTTGAGAGGGAGGAACCTGTAAGATTAGAAACTGCTCTGGGGCAAAAATTTAAGAGCTTTGCTGACTAGACAGTACATGAGAAAAGGCAAGACGTACTACATCATGCTTTACAATTTTGTAAGCTGCTGCTATCAAAACAGACAGGATTTTTACTCTTCCCAGAATTGGCAATACAATAACTGTTTACTTAGAAATAGTTTTTTTAAAAAGAAAAAAAGGAACTGAAAAACTTGTTGAGAGTAGGACTTTTTACTCTTTGATGCATTCCATTGACTAGAAAACTGTTAAATTGTATACTTTTGGTCTCCTGGTGTAATTACTATAAAGTAATTAAAACTTTAGACAATAGCAAATTTAAGATTTTTACTATTAGAGATGACTTTTATACAAACATCTTTCAATATTCTGCCTTTTGTTACCATTTTTACCACAATTCTTTGCTTTCATCATTCTTAACAACTGCACTTATTTCTTTGGTTTCTGGCTAATATTGCTAAAATAATTAGAGTATATTAAAAATGTCCCTTGTACAAATGTAATGAGACCTGAAAATATTTCATGTTCTCAAAACTGAATTTATAACCTAGAATACAGTTTAAGGCAACTAATATTTTAATATTTCTAGGTCAGAATTTATCCTTATTTTAAATTCCACTAATCAAATCTTTTTTATCCTTTATTTCCTGTACTAGAGGATCCCTAATGAGATCAACCAAGATAGAGAGAAACTTCCTCCCCGCTGAAAATATACTTTTGCATTTGTGAGAGCGAAATTTTGACAGACAGTATACAGGAATTCTGTAAAAGCAAAGTTAATCCTGGATTATGTCTAATTAACAAGGCTGCAAGTCATAAAATTTGATGCATTGCTTTAATAATAAACACAAATTAAGGTGTGTCAAAAGAAGCTGTTTTCAGCTGAATGTTAAAAAAAATAATAGAATTAAGTACAAATACTAGTGTTTAATTAATGCTACATCTCCAAATAAAGGATACAAAGTTGTACATTTCACATTTAATTTAAAATGTGGGAGAGAAATCATAACTTGAGACACTGTATTCAAATGACTTATTAACAGCTCAAAACTGCAGAGAAGAGAGAATTAGACTAACTTCACAGGACAAAAATATCACAGGAGCGTATTTCTGTGCTGAAAATTGTAGCAGGTCAAATAACTGAAGTGGTAAAACAAAAAAACCCCTGAAATAGAATTGAATGTTATTGTTACTGTCATAGAAACCAGTAAGCACATTAAGTTTATGGTTTGTAATGCAAAAAAATACATTATAAACAAGTTAAAAGCTTTATGGAATACCTCAAAAAAAAAGGCAATTATCACCTGACCCAATCCAAAACTCATTCCTTTATATAGCTGTTATCAAAGCCTAAAACCATTTAAACCTAAGATCTTAAAGGAAACACCTATAAAGTTCAG